CGCACATTGTTTCGATCCACTTCGACAAAGACAGGCTGGCCCTTAGGAATGCGGGCTTGATCTGAAGATGGAGCACGCACATATCTGCCATCCTCGCCTTCTTGCTCCGGAACCTTGTCACCGAAGAGAAAGTTTGAAAGGCGGAGGAAACCGGCGCACTTCTGGAAACACCACTTGTAGACGGCGTGTAGGCCCTCGCTAGGCTTGTAAAATTTGATGATCACTGGCGTGAGGAAGTTGTAAAAGAGGAGGTCAAGCGGGAACTCTAGCGACGGTGCTTCGGTTGTCCAATGAATTGGCAGAACATTGGAAGTTGCCCGGCTCAGAGTCCAAACCACTCCTCCAAGACAAACAATGACGAGTGCGCCGTAGACCAGAGCACTGAAGGCAATCTTGCGAAGCTGAGTAGTGACACTGCGCTCTAGAACGTCACGGACCGGATGGAATGTAGGGTCATCTGGATCGCGGATGAAGTACAGGACACCCTTGCGCATAATCTTACGGCACATGGAGACGAAGAGTGCAAAGTGGAACATGTAGCAAGTGCCAATGAACCAGTGCACAAACCCAGATGTCCACGGACTTTCCCTAGCAAATTGCCACCGCGTGTACAGCGTAGCATTCTTGAAAAGAGGGAGCATGGCGAGATCGAGGAGCAGGCCACAGTACAGTGGGAATACCAACATCTCGATGCTGATAATCAAGATTACCTTGAGCACACCACCGGCTTGTTGTAGAATGTCGGAAATGATGCGTTCGATTTTCTGTCCTTGCTGTGATGAGCTAAAGGGAGTACCGCGCTTGAGGTACACAGCACCAGCCAAGGCGAAGAACCCATAGCCAGCAAGAATGGCAATCATGCGATCGCTGGCTGTCCAGTAGTCCATTGCAGTATACGTGGAAGTTGTGTTGTGAGTCGAATCCAAATCAAGGGTAATCTTGTATGATTTGGAAGCCCATAGCCATGACAACAAGGCGCCGCCTCGTCCATATGCGGATGTAAAGGTATTTGTGACGAGAGACGGCAAGTGTCCGGCAACCCTCAACACAAGCCTGGGTAGCGAGTCAGCTGAGATTTCTTCAATGATTGCGTTTGCAAAATGGCTGGTCTCGTTGAGCGCGAACGAAGTCGTATTTTGCAGGCTTCGCAAAGAAGCATGGGCATTTACTGAGAGTCGGAAGGAGTCGGGTCCAGGCGATAGAGGCGATTCCATAAACATTTTGCTGATACGAACCATGGAGCTCTCTGCAAGAGAATAAGCAGGCGTTGATATTGTACGAAGTGGGCCCTCGACCGCTTCTGAAAGTTTGCCCCAGGAAAAGAGCTTGACCAGACCAGATATGGCAGCAGAGCTCCAATACGTTGCGCCGGCCACGACAAATAGAGTGACATCAACAATCAAGTCTGTGATGGTGGCAACTACTTGCAGAGGTAGCTTGATGAAGAGCGAGACAGGACTTCCCATGAAGAGAATGACAACCTTACCCCAAAGGTAAGGGAGCCAAACTGCACAGGCCAGTGTTGCAGAAATCAACACTGCGCTGAACAAGGCGTTCTGGAAAAGACCAACCAGGGGCCCTTGCATGCCAATGAGTTCAAGTATGCCCTCCAAGTCCTCTGCATCTTCAATCGCTTCCTGGTCATTGACATCGATACCAGCCTGTGCAGCGGCAGCAGCTACCTCAGCATCCCGTGCGGGGGCATTGCCGTGATCTCGCGCCTCGTTGCCCATAAACGGGACAAACGGCGCCTCATCTGCCAAGTCACGAACAATGTGCTCCTCATTGCCTCCCTCATCAGCTGCCTGGGCTGCAGGCGCCACGTCTCCAAACATCCAATCCAATACGCGGTTTACTGGGTTTCCTGGGGCTTGAGGGTCTGCGGGTTGAACTGGGTTTACAGGTGCAGGAGGCTCGTTTTGATGTTCCTCGTCCTCCTCAGCTTCGGTTTCTTCGTCTGCAGTCAAATTGTACGCGGGGTGGCTGGCATCAAACTCTACTTCAATAATGGTATTAACCGTAACACCGTTGTCCGAATCAGCGGTAGTGCTTTCAGACGATGAAGCGGATTCATGTGATGTGTCTTCATTTGATGCTTCTTCGTCACCATAATCAACAGCTTTGGCTTTCCCCTTGTCGTGTGCGTGCTCTCTTTCCAGCGCTTGGTCAGAGTCATCCCCCACAACTTCAGGAACCTGCTGCCAACTCCCGCTACTATGATCACTATGCTGCTCGTGATCTGATACACTCCCACGCTCTTGAGCTGGTTGTCGGTCTCCAGCGTTATTTCCCCAAGAACTGGGTGCCTCGTTCGTATCGCCAGCGGCTGGTTCCGACGCTTGTGGCAGGTTCTCGAACGACCAAGTGTTGGCCTCTTCTAGGCTGCGACGAATCTCTGTAGCAATAAATGAGCGGTCGCGTGCTGGCATGTTTGGCCTTGACCAGGATGCAGACGAATCAGAATCTGCTGCATCTGGTGTGGAACTCGAGGGCAGGGGAAGTGAGGAAGTGCGTGCGGGAAAAGTTGAGCTACTGGCTTCTTCATCATCATCATCATCTTCTTCTTCAGCTTGGTTGGCAGACTCTCCAGCACTCATCGCTTGGCGAAGAGACTCTTGAAGATTTTGAGCAGTCGCATCATCCTGGTTGAAGATATCGGCAAGGCCATTGGCCGATTCCGATTGCAACATTGCTCGAACATCATCTGACAAACCTTCGCGTACTAATCTTCGGACCAAGTCATCACGTTCCCTGCGGAGTGAAGAAGACCGACGCACCCGGCGTATTGTGGGGTCTGGTGCGTCGTGCTCTTCGGCTTGGGCGTTATTGTCGGGGAAACCTGGCTCGTCTTCATCATGGTCATGCAGCTCGTGAGCGTCTTGAGCGACCTCGGCATGCAGAGCGTCCAGAGCATCGTCCAGCTCATCTTCATCAACCACAACATCCTCAACATGAGCGTCGTCGTCAAAGATTGCGCCCTGCTGTGCAGCAGCATTGTCGCCAAGAGCAACCATGTTGATTACCGGTTGCTGCTGGACAACCCATTCTCGAATGAGAAATACCAAGATGAACGCGACTACTACAAGCAGAGTGATGATTTGACCTTCAATCACATCGATGATAAAGCGGTTGGCTGACTGGGATTGGAACCAATTGAAGAAAGGGACGTCGGAGAGCAACGAAGGGCTACGGACACCGAGAGGACTTGACGTGATATTCGATGCCGTAATATTCTTGTCAACGACGGACAAGAGATGTGATTGGTCACTTTGGGGCAGCTGAAGGAACGGATACGGGGCGCCAATAAAGAGGCGTTCCGCAAACCTCCAGAGCATGGACTGGGGAGTGGTTTTGTTGTTGGGTGTGAGGGATACGGATGCTAGTGAGCTGGTATTGTTCCTGGTCTTGGCATTTTCAACTGCAGCCCGGATCGTGTTTAGTTCACTGGGGGAGAACCGGCGCATGTCCGGTGTGTCGGCCGTGTCTATGAATATTTCTCGCGACCAGCCGCCATCGCCGACCCAGAAGAGGCTGCGCCAGACTACGCGCATGCACCAGGGAAGCAGGAACAGCCACACGGCGCCTACGAGGACACCGCGACACCAGGTGACAAACATGTTGAAGACATGGAGGGTGGCGCGGTGGATGAAGACCGTGGTAGGTATTCGGTTGGGCATGTTTGGGTGGTATAGTTTGGTGAAGCGAAAGGACGTCTTGCACAGCTCGCAGTGCTTCTTTTGCGTGTGCGAGAGCCACTCCATCAGACACTCCTGGTGGACATATCTTATGCTGCCGCTGCATTTGCAGGGGAAGAAGAGGGGCTCTTCGGCAGTGCCTTCTCCACGGCAAATTCGACAGGTATCGGCTTCGTCTCTGTCGAATGTTCGTGTGTCGGGCGAGTCGGGGGCATCGTCGAACGGCCCCGCATTCAGAGGCGCGGCATCGGTGGCCATTGTTGGGTGGTATTAAAAGACGTATACGGGGTATAGGAGGGCGAAGTGAAGTCGTCGGGGCAGTGGGATTTCAGGCAGGAGCCGTAGAGTGAGGTATCTCAAGTAGTCATCGGGACTAAAGTGACGGAGAATAGTTTCTGGGTGCGTCGCGTGCCGGTACGCGGTGGAATAGCAGGACAAGGCTCGGCTTGTGGAGGCAAGCAGAGTACGACAAGAAATATACAGACTGACAGACAGGAAAGGGAGTGGGGTATGAAGGGGGAATGATAGGGGTGGGTGAGGGAAGGCGCCAGAATGGTGAAGGCGGCGGCAGAGGACACCGGGCGGAAGTGGTGGTGATGTCGCCGCCGGACCCTTGGAAGCAGTCTTGGCACAGCACCCCCCGGCCACCACAACGGCTATGTCAGTAAGTACATACGCTATCCTAGTAGTAGTGCCTGGGGGGATACTCTATTCTACTATTACTGCTCACACTAAGTACGTACATTTCTGACAAACAAGCATGGGGTCTTGCTCTGGCCCGGCCCTTAAAAGTAGCCATGCTGTGACGAAACATCGGCTGTTGGCACACGCAAACGGCCCATTTTCTCGGTGCACGACGAGCGTGGGTGTTACAGAGCTCGCAGAAGGAACAGCAGCAGGGGCAACCTGAGGCACTCGCATCCCCCCAGCTCCATTTCTGCCGTCGCGACACAGATACACATACATATGCACTCGTGTCCGCTGTCGTCCTGTCACGTATCACAATAATACCCACTGCCACAATCAGCTCGCATGCCCAAATCCTGATCTTGTTCTGTCTCTCTTCCTGCGCCCGCACGTGCAAATTACATCACTGCTGCAGCTCGGTTGTGCTGCACCCCCAACGCTAAACAGACAGGTTACGTTGAGAGCGCCCATCAGCTCCATTCTCCCTCTATCCACAATCCACCAAGCTGCCCATTTCTGCTCCGTTTGGTGAGCAGCCTGACTCGCCCCCGCCGCTGCAAATTGGCTGATTCGCATTGTCCAGAAGCCGCTCCGCTCCATCGTCGACTACACGCGAGCATGGCCGCCCAGGCCAACGGAAGGGCAAAAAAGTCCAAAACCTCGCCAAATGGCAGTGCCAATGGCTCCACCGGCGCATCTACCAATGCAAAGGCGAAGAACAATGCAGACCAGGCCCGCTCAGCCCGCTCAAGAAAGCCCCGGCGGACTGTGATGGGAGCCTTTACGAGCATGACAGCACGGCTGACAACGTGGTACCTCATCATCACCTTGCTGTTCCGCTGCCCCAAGTCCATCACTCAGCTGCACGACGATTCTCCCCGCGTGTGCAAGCCATACCTCCAAACTCGCGACTTCGCCGCGCCCTATCTCGACCCCTACTACGAGACCTATGTCGTCCCCCAGCTCGACAAGGTCAAGCCCTACACGACGCCCGCCATCATCTTTGCACAGGAGCAATACGCAACACACGGTGCACACAGGGTTGAGCTTGCGAGGAAGTATGCAGAGGCTCAGTATGAAAAGTCCATTCGTCCTCAGCTGCAGAGCGCTCAGGAACAGGCCTGGGCACAATACGACGTCCACCTAGGTCCCCACGTCAAGAAGGCGACTGACGCCATTGCCCCCCACTACAACGACCTCAAAGTCAGCTCCGAGGAAATCTACCACCACACTCTCTTCCCAGCCTATGAGCGTTCTCTTCCATACCTTAAGCAGGGACATGCCTATGGCCACCACGTCCTCGTTGATATCGTCTGGCCTCACCTTCGCACTGCCCAGGAAACTGCCTGGACTTTTTTTCAGCGCAGCGTCTGGCCCCAAATACGCATCCTGTATGGAGACAATGTTGAGCCCCAGCTAGTCCGCATCTCTGAGCGACTAGGCCGCTACAAAGATCAGCAAAAAATGGAGTCTGCCATGTTTGCTGCTGATTCGCAGGCGGCTACCTCTGTGGCATCCAGCAAGCATGCCCCCACCACGGCCAGCTCTTCCGCTTCTGTTGCCTCTCCCGGCTCCACCGAAGGGTCTGGCTGGGGTGTCCTTGACGACTTCTTTGGCAGCGAATCTGCAAGCACAGCCTCAAAGGAACTTGAACCAAAATCTTCAGCTGAAGTTGCCCCTTCTGCGTCTAAGCTCACCAAGGCCGAGCTGCAGGAGAAGCTTAACAACGATCTCCGCCAGTGGCAGGACAAGTTCTCTGCCGCCGCCGACAAGGGTGCTGAAGATCTCGAAGTACGCGTAGAGGAAATCACAAACCACAAGATCAACGATGCTGTTAACGGCCAGGGCAAGGCTCTGCTCATTAAACTCGAGGAGACTGCTGATGCAACCATTGCCAAGCTCAAGAGCTACATCAAAAAAACTGTTTCCTCTCTCCCTGAAGATGCCTCAGAAGCCGACCTAGAGGCTGCATACAATGATTGCAGTAAAAAGACCCGTGAGTTCGGCCTTACGGTCAAGGAACGCGCCCAAGACATCCGTGACTGGAAGGTGTCGTACGACCAGGAGACCGATGATCTAGTGAGAGCTGCAGTAAGAAGTACTGTCGATGTTCTAGAAAAGATACATAGCCTTGGCCTTCAAGAGGTTGGCATGCGATGGGTATGCCGTGGCCCCAAGAAGTTAACTCCCTGACGAACTCTGCTAACAAAGTATCGTAGGCATGGACTGATGGCGTTACATACAAAGACTGGCAAAACTACCACAAGTTGAAAAACACACTCATTGAATGGCAGAGTGAAGTTGAGGCTGTTGGGGCAAGACATGATGGCCTTCGTGCTGCTCACGAGGAAGCTAAGAAGCTTGAGGACAAGGCTATGAAAATTGCATCAGACATGGTCGCGGAGCTGGTTCGCCTAAAGGACGTTTCCAAGTCAAAGATTTGGGCTGGTGATGCCAGCGATGATTTCTCCGACAAAATCTTTGCACCTCGCATCCGAAATGCTGCCCAAAAGGTCATGGAGAATGTTGAAATGGCATCAAGTCAGGTTTCTGAGGCTATTCAAGGCAGCTCCACCCCACTCAGCGAGAGCATCGCCTCGTCCGCCGCAGAAATGTACTCGGATGCATCATCTCAAATCTCTGAGGCTATTCAGGGCAGCTCAACACCGCTTGCGGAAAGCGTTGCATCCTCTGCCAAGGCAGCAGCATCCGGGGCATCATCCCAAGCTGCTGAAGCAGTTGAAGCAGCCTCAACCGCACTTGCTGAGAATGTAATAGCCCCTGTAGGGGATGCAGCAGCACAAGCGTCCTCTGGAGTTTCCGAGGCCATCTACGGTACACCATCATCCGAAAGTGTGCTGTCTCAGGCCTCTTCTGTGGCCTCGCAGGTAGTAGAGGAGGTTTCTGCAAAGGCTTCTGAAGCCTATGAGGCGCCAAAGAAGGTGTTTGGCGGTGCCAATGCCCAGATTCTTGCTGAGGCCAAGCAAGTCGTATTTGATCAACCTCTTGACGACGATGAGGATGACACATACTCTGAAAAGGTGCAGGAAGTATTGGCGGACACGGGAGACCGAGCTGCTCAGTTGAGTCGTGCGGTCAGCGAAGCGCTCCTGGGACCATCAAAGACGCAAGGCAGCATCGAATCAGCCTCGTCGATTGCAAGCGAACAATACGCCGAGGCACTCGCCGCTGCCTCAAGCGTGCTATATGGAACTGAGAAGCCCGCTGTTGAGAAAGCTACTAGCGTCGCTGCCGACAGGTATGCGCAAGCCGTCACCGCAGCATCATACGCCATCTTCGGCACGCCAGCTCCTACTGCTGTCATTCAGACCATTCATATAGAGGCGAGCTCACGCTACAACGATGCTGTTAGCGCTGCGAGCAAACAGTTTGAAAATGCCAGGGCTCAATTGTCTATGCTGGTTTCGGGCAAGCCCCAACCTGCACACCAGACGATGCTCTCGTATATCGAGAAAGCCTATTCCGACTCTGTTGCAGCAGCAAGCGAGCGTTTGTCAAACGCTGTGCAGTATACCCAGTCCGCAAAGGACTATGCAGTTGGCCCACAACAGGGATACTTTGAGTCAGTTTCCTCCATTGCTGCGTCCCGGCTGTCGGAAGGTCTGAGTCAAGCATCTGCCCAATTCCTTCCCCAGTCGACTGGTGTTGCTGATGGTGCTCGACGACAGTACTACGAGGCTATCGGACTTGCGCACGCCCGGTACTCTGAATTCGTTGACGCAGCTTCAAGTGCTGTCAATGGCCCTCAACAGGGTACTGTGGAGTCTCTGGCTTCAGTTGCTTCGGCCTCGGCTGCTTCTGCTGCTTCCTACATCTCCGATTCAGCGGAGTCGGCCGTCTCGCAAATCAGCTCCAGTGTTATCGGCTCGGAGACACCCTGGACCGAGTCTGTCGCATCGCAAGCCAGCAAGAACTGCGAGGCGCTGATTTCACAAGCAAGTAACCAAGTCTACGGTCAACCCACACCCTGGGCACAGTCTATTTATTCTCAGGCCGGTGCATATGGCGCACAGGCTACTGAGGCTGCTGCTAAGCAATACGCTGATGTCCAGGCTCTGATTTCTGAGCTTGTAGTTGGCAAGGAGCCCGATTTCACGGAAAGCGTCATGAGCCGTTTTGCTTCCGCATACTCTACAGGTTTGCCCGCTGCTATCGCGTCTGCCCAATCGTATGCTGGCGATAGCTACGATGCGGTGACTGACGCAGCCGCTGACGCATACGCCTCTGCCACTTCTGTCGTTGGCGCAATCTTTACACCTCCAGCTGTTATTGAGGATGTCCTGAGTCAGGCCAGCGCTTCTTTGGATCTGGCTGTCGAGAGCGCGTCCATTGCTCTGTATGGAACTCCCAAGGGTGCCGCTGAACAAGCCAGCGAGTCCGTGGTCAGCGTATACTCATCTATTCAATCTCAAGTCAGCGCCAAGGTCTACGGAACCCAGGCAGCCCAGGACAGCTTCTCAGCGGCCGCACTCTCTGCACAAGCGGCTATTAGCGAGGCCATCTTTGGTACCCCTACCGCGGGTGACTATGTGGCTTCGGTCACTAGCGGTGCTGGTGAAGTATACAGCTCACTATCCTCTGCCGCCAGCTCAGCAGTGTATGGCCCCGAGCAAGGAGCCATGGAGAGCGCCAACCGTCGCATTTCCGACGCCGTCGCTGCTGCCAATAGCCGTATTTCAGAGATGTACGCAGCCGCCTCTGCAAGTGCCGAGGACGCAGCCAGCAGTCTATCCAGCGCAGCCACAAAAGCTACAAAAGCCGCAAAGGATGAGCTGTAAGGTGTCGCCTTGGCATGGTAGACTTGCAGTAGCCCGACAGGATCGACATTTACACAATGTGTATGCAACGTATGGAGAGATGAAGCAGTGCATTGTACGGGGAGGGAGATTTCCTTTTTTTTTGCAGGGCTCTAAGCACCCTCGAGGGTAGTGGTAAAGCGGTCACACGTTATACCTACTACACTTTTGCTATGACACGACATGAATTGTACCATTTATATCTATCCCACTTTTTTTCCTAAATTGTTCTTAGATGGACAAGTGGCTTGCAAGTAAGGAAACGCACAGAGAAAGATAGGGTTCAGTTGATCTGAACCAATAGGGGAGACTTGGGAAACTTGGGAAACTCGGTAGTAATGGACCTATGAAAGAGAGCCCCAAACCCATGGATTAGTTCTAATCTAGTTTTCTTTTTTCCTTTTTTTCCTTTCAGGTTGCCAATCTAGGGTGAGAGGGAGGGAAGGGGGAAATAGAATGATATAGTTATACCCTTTTTTTCTACTTTTATTTCCAAGTCTTGATTCATCTGATACCACGTCTGAACCAAGAAAGAACAGCAAGTAAAACACACACACACACACATTTGCACGAGCAATCATTTATTGTTATTTCAATCTGATTTCATTGTTTTCCATAGTTATTGGATTCGACTACATACATACAATACACGTACAGACCATGACTTCCGTGCTCAATACGTGAAATTTCGTTATTTACGCATTTGGAGAAGCATCCTCTCAATCATACCGACATTAACGGTGGGGGGTATTTTCTTCCGACCAAAACATCCACCAACATCCACCACTTTCTTTCTTCCTCTCTTCTCTGTCTCGAAGAGAAAAAGCAAGCCTTAAAAAAAACAATCAAATCGTAAGGAGGAGGTGAAGGGGGAAAAAAGGAGAAAAAGAAAAAAAAGTCGCTTCCATGCCCAAACGCCCCCCCCCCAAAAAAACACACACACACACACACTCATGCCAAGTTCCCTCTCTCTCTCTCTACTAGCTGACTAAAAGCAGCAGATTGTTCAAGGGAGAACTTTTAATCACTATCACTCAAACTATCTCTTCGGCCAACAGCCCTGACACCACCCCTACGATACCCATCCATGACATCCCTACCGCCCCTCTCACGGCGATTCGTCGGGACGCCAACCTGCGAGACGCTCTCCATAGGATGAACACTACCGGCCTGGCTCAGACCGGGGATATGGCACGGATAGCTCATGTGGCCATGCGAATCGCCATTAGCAGTGGTGAAGATATCCGAGGGGGGAGGCGCAGGACGCGAGGAGCGGTGCTGTTTGCGCGGCGACTCGGAGGGAGGACGCGAGCGAGAGCCTGAGGGGCGGGGGCGAGAAGACGAGGATGGGCGGGCGGAGCGCGAGGAGCGGTCGCCGCGGTCGGTGGAGGGGCGGGCGGAGCGGGAGCGGGGGGCGTGCTTGTTGGGGTCTGTGTAGAGGGAGGGGTCGGCGTTGGGGCGGTAGTCCGAGTAGTAGCTTGATTCGGTGACTTCAGTGGGGGCGGTGCGCGAGGTCTTTGCTGGGGCTTTGGCGGGGGGAGAGTCTGGGTCGTTGGTGTTGACGCCGGTGTAGACAGTTTCGGTGTCGTCGCCAGTGGTGAAGGAGTAGGCTGCTGAGGGAGGTGCACGGCGCGGACCGTTGGGGCCCTTGCTGGTTCGGGTGGGAGCGCGGGTTGGGGTGGTGTCAACAACAGAGGGAGCGGTGTACTCGGTGTAGGCGCGTGTGTACTCGGATTCAGCTGGGTGGTACTCGATCATGGGGCGGCTGACTTCGGCCATCTCGGGGGCTTCAGAGGGTGCACCGTTCTTCCTGGATCGCTTTTGCTCGTCCTTGAGGCGTTTGGCTTCGGCTTTCTGTTCTTCCTTGCGGGCTTTGGCTTCGGCGGCTTCCTTCTTTGCGGCTTCCTTTTCAGCGGCCTTGGCCTTGCGCATGCGTTCCTTTGCACGTTGCTCCTTGGCCTTGGCCTCCTTCTTGGGATCCTTTGGTTCTTTTGGTTCTTTTGGTTCTTTTGGTTCTTTCTTGACGAGGGGGACGTTGCTAGAGACTTGGGAGCCGCCGACTTCAGAAGGCTGAGAGCCAGAATAGTCGGTGTACTTGCCATCGCCGACACGGTTCAGACCACCAACACGGGCAGCCTTCTCCTCACGGTACTGACGGAGCTCGGGGTCGTTGTAGTCATTGGTGTGGTTGCGACGGTGCTTCTTGTGCTTGCGTCCATCACCGCCACGAAGGCCGGCCTCGCCCTTTTCAGCGTCGGTGTAGGTGCTTGAAGTGACGGTAGTTCCACTCTCATCCGTGTAACCAAGATCGCTCTGAGCACCAAAGTAGCTGCCGCCGTGAACAACACTGCCACCACCGAGCCTGGTGCTCTTGGTAGCGTTGGAGAGAGTCTTGCCATCAGGTCCCTTGCGTCGCAGCACTGTGGATTTGTAGTCTTCCCAGTCACCCTCACGCCATTTGAAGCCGCCATTCTTGGCCCAGAAGAAGAACCAAATGGCCATAAAGGCCATTCCAATGCCAATGAGAGCGAACAGGGCCTGGAAGCCAGGACCAGCGAGGTCGAGCGGTGGCTTTGCTCCAGCCGAAGCAAGTTGCCTGTAGGGGTCTTCACGCTTGGCCAGAGACTTTGCTTGCTGCAAAGCATTCACAGCCATGGGAGAGAGTGCATCGGCAACAATCTCGGGATGGGGCGCCATGGTGGGCGAGCCGGTAGTGTTTGTGTTCTCACCGATACAAGATGGGTTGTGTCGGACTTGAAAACAGCGAGTGCAACTAGCAACAAAATAGTCAGGCTGATGTTCTAGCAGAAAAATAAGGATGGGTAAGTTTGTGTGGTTGAGGGGATTAGGAGAGGAGCAGTCTTTGCCAGGGACTTTTGGTTTGGCTGGAGAGGTCAGTAGTCGAGTGGCTGGAGCAAATGCAGGTGGTTAGGAGGAGGCTGGGGAAGCGAGCCGACGTCACGCCTCACCCAAACAAACGGTTGATGCAGCAACAGCACGTTCCCTGCCACACCATTGCCACGCGGCAACCAGTAATTGATGAGAATGAGATGAAAACGCCTAGACTGCAGTATCCAGGTACCATCCCGATGCACTGCGCCAATCATGGTTGCAGCCCATGCAGCGGTCGGCTTCGTCGTTGTCACCCGCGACCGCTCTTTCGCAGCGGGTACTAGGCGGCCCATGGCACCCTGCAGCACTGCAAGGTCCCTCGCAGCAGCCTTACATCTTCCTCTGCCCAACATTTTTTTTATTTTTGCTACCATACATTTACAATGGTTTGCATTGGCTGGTCCAGGCTATCTGAACTGGCTGGATATAGTATTCTTGGCCCAGAAATTGATGTAGTAGTAGTAGTCAATCAAGGAGAAATTCAGCAAGCCTGCTCGGCGCTAAAACTTGGAAACTCCTTCCTGCGTCTCAGACCGTCCAAGGAAGATTGGGTTCTAATGCTGAAATGTTCTTCAATATCTAGGAGTTACATCTGGTTTTGGAAGGGGAGAGATTCGAAATGGATTGACTAGCTCTCATACGAATAGATGCGTAGCCCTGTAGAAAGAGGTCAGGGTCTTGGCGTATCTCACTGTGGCTTACCCTCCACCTGAATCAAGCCAGTAGCAATGCGTGATGCTAACCGCACGTTGACATGTGTATTCCGTCATCTGTCAGCCTGAGAAAATCTTCCTGCTCTTCTAGCCCTAGGAGTGGTCTTTTTCAACCCCCCTAGAAAAGTAGATTCTAGATTTTGACATATTTCAAGGCGTAGGGCGTGCGGCTAGTCGTCCAACGGCTTGGTTCGCAGTCCAAGTTGGAATGTGCTCGAACATCAACCATCTATGATAAATATCACTTTTCTGGAAATCTATGTTGATTCTGAAGAAGGAAAAAATCAGTCTGTTCTCCTAGACGACTTCAGAAATGGCTACCCAGACGGAAGAGTCAATGGCCGAAGTCTTTGAACTTCACCAAAGACCCAAGCCCGCATCGATTCCATACACACCAGGAACATTAGAAGAAACTCCATCCATCAACCATGGCATGCTTGATGCCGAATCATCTCCATCACCCCCGTCATCCACTCCCAAACCGACTACCCTACGCACCTTCCTCACAATCTTCACACCATCTTTCGTAGGCTTCATGGCCAGTTTCACCAATGGCATCATCACCGTCGGCCTCCCAATCATAGCGCGCTCCATCTCTCTCGAGCGGTCTCTATACCTATGGCCTTCATCCGTCTACGGACTGACATCCGGTGCTGCCCTGCTCACCGCAGGCTCCATTGCCGACATTGTTGGTGCCAGGCCCGTTGAACTTGCTGGTATCACCCTCCTCGGTATTCTTACCTTGCTATGCGGATTTGCACAGTCAGGCGCTCAGCTCGTTGTTTTCCGTGCTCTCCAGGGTATTGCGCTGGCGATGCATCTGCCGGCTTCTGTTGCTATCATAACGGGGGCTGTGCCGTCTGGAAGAGCGAGGAATCTGGGGTTTGCGTGTCTGGGGTTTAGTCAACCGCTTGGGTTCGCTGTTGGTCTTGTGCTTAGTGGTGTTATGATTGAGAGAGCGGGATGGAGGTCGGGATTCTACTTGGCTGGAGGATGTACTCTAGCTATTGCTGTTGCTGCTCTGTGGACACTGCCAAAACTACCGTCTCAGAACAACGATGGTGTAGCCGCCTTATCGAAGAAGGTAGGCAAAGAGATAGACTGGGTCGGTGCGATTATTTCCAGTGGTGGTTTGGCTATTCTTGCCTACGTCCTAGCGTAAGTCACTGCATGATCTATTACTACCTTATACTCACAACATATAGCATCATCAGCGCAGACCTCGCAAGCATCCGTTCAGCTACGACAGCCTCCCTCCTCGCCATCAGCGTCCTCCTTCTCGCCGCCTTCCCACTATGGATGCATTACTGCGAACAAACCGGTAAACCAGCTCTCGTCCCAAACAAACTCTGGAAGAACCTCCCCTTCACCAGCACCTGCATCATGGTCGCCCTATCCTACGGTGTCATGAATTCCATCGAGCTCTTCTCTAGCCTCTAGTACGCCGCACTATACCCTCTCTATCAACTCAACTGCTAACTAAACTCAACAGCTTCCAAGAAATCCAACACGCCTCTACACTAACAACCTCGCTCTACCTTCTCCCCAACCTCACCACCGGCGTCCTCATCAACATCTTCGTAGGCCTCTTCATCCACCGTGGCCCCGCCCGCTGGCTAGTGGCGGGCTCAGCCCTCATCTGCGCCTTATCGCCTCTCCTCATGGCGCTTGTCCCGCCAGCCTGGAGCTACTGGAAACTTGCCTTTTGGGCCCAGATCTTCGCGCCGTTTAGCGCAGACGTGCTATTCACAGTCGGTCTCATCATCGTCAGTGATAGTTTTCCGGAAAAGACACAGGCGCTGGCGGGCGCGGTGTTCAACACTGTGGCGCAGTTTGGTATGAGTTTGGGCATGGGGAGTTGTCAGGTTGTGGCGTTGGGAGTGCAGGGTCCTGCTGGTGGTAGTAGTGGGGGTGGGCACGGAAGTGGACATGGTGGGGGAAGTGCATTTGAGGATCAGGATGAGGGAGCGGTGTTGAAAGGGTACAGGGCGAGCTATTGGCTTATGTTTGGGTATATGGTGGTGTGCATGGGGATTGCGGTTGTGGGGTTGAGGAAGGCGGGTAAGGTTGGGCTGAAGAAGGAGTGAAAGGACTAGAATACTGCCCCCCATGTATTGCTACTATACAGTGCTGAATATACTATCTACCTCGAACGCATCACTTTCAGCACCTTCTCAGCCCACATTCTGACATGGATCCGTACTCGACAGCTACACCCGGTCCCCTCCATGGCCAAAGGGGAAGGTCACATACCACCTCACCAATCGCGTCACCAGTAGCATTCCATCTTGCACAGCATACGGGCCCACACATACAGTATCCCCCGCAAGTCATTCGCACATCGCAGGCGTAGTCTACATGTTGCGCGATACCCAAAGTGGCAGTTGGCTGGCCTGCCACGGCGCAAATCCCCTGCAGATCACCATCTAGGCGCATAAGGCTTGACCCGGGCCACCCAGGCTTATCTCGCAGTCAGCAACGATATTAACCACTTGCCCGCCATGGTCCCCAGTGCCTACTCAGATTATGGCAAACCAGCTTCCTGAGCAAGGTTGCTGCCCCGGCGAGCGGCCAAGGCCAGTCGGGCAGGTGTAAGGGAATGGTAGGCTGGCGATGGCCCAATGTGGAATGAAGCCGTCGTACTGCATCGGCGGGGCGTGTACTTTTGTCATGGGAGCATTTTATTTTGTTTCGCTGCGTTTATATATTAGAGACGACTGGAGCTCCATTGTCTTCTGTCCTCAGGCCACGCTTCTCCCTCTCTCTCTCTCTCTCTCCCTCTCTTCTCCATCTCTTCATTCTTGCAAGCCAGCTATGAAGCTCCTCAGCGTCACCCTGGCCTCGCTGGGCCTCGCCTCCGCCGCCACCGTTGCCAAGAAGGTAAACTACGACGACTGGAAAGTCGTCCGTGTCAATGTCGGCACAGACGCTGCGAAGCTCGAGAATGTAATGAGCAAGTTGCAGCTTGAGCTGTGGAAGGGCAAGCCTGCATCGAGCGATGTCGTCGATGTCATGGTGCCGCCGTCGTCAGTCAAGGACTTCGAGGCTCAGACTCAGGGTTTCGAAACAAAGGTCATGCATGACAATCTTGGCCTTTCTATCGCAGACGAGCAGAGTTTTAGCACATATGCCGGTACGCTTGTTTCCCGCGTCCAGTAAATTGAAGAAGTGACATGGGGGAGGCTAACTTCTGTCAGCTGGTCTTGCACCAAACGCGACGTGGTTTGATTCTTACCACTCTATTGCCGATCATATGCAATGGATTACCGATCTTGCGGCTGCGTACCCCAAGAACGCAGAGGTAATCTCTGCAGGCAAGTCGGTTGAGGGACGTGATATCAAGGGTATTCATATCTGGGGTAGTGGCGGTAAGGGGTCGCAGAAGGGTGTAGTATGGCACGGCACTGTGCACGCACGTGAATGGATCACTACAATGGTAAATTTCCCCTTCTTTTTCAAGCCAAAAGATTGAATGCATTGAGGAATTCTGCTAACACATTTACAGGTCGTCGAGTACGCAGCATACCAGCTCCTTACCTCCACCGATGCCACGACCGCCGGCTTCAAAGACTCATACGACTTCTACATCTTCCCCATCGTCAACCCCGATGGTTTCGCCTACAGCCAAACCACCGACCGCATGTGGCGCAAGAACCGCCAGACCACTCCCAGCGCCTCGTGCGTAGGCCGGGACATCAACCGTAAGTTCCCCTCCCCTTCCCCTTTCAAAAAAAAACAACCCCAACCTAACCATTGCAAAAAAGGCAACTGGCCCTCCCACTGGAACCAAGCCAATGGCGCTTCCACCTCGCCCTGCGACCAAGACTACAAGGGCCCCTCCGCCGGCGACGGCGTAGAAACCAAAGCCCTGAAAGCACACCTCGACAGCATCGCCGCCGGCAAAGGCATAACCCTCTACATGGATATTCACGCCTACAGCCAACTCTGGATGTACCCTTACGGCTACACCTGCTCCGGTGCTCTCCCCAGCGCCGCAAAGTACTCTTCGCTAACCAACGGTGCCATTGCCGCCGTTAAAGCAGTACATGGCACCGCCTTTACCGGCGGCCCCATTTGCAACACCATCTACCAGGTTAGTGGCGATAGCGTGGATTATGCGTTTGAAGTTGCAAAGGCTACGTATAGTATGACGGTTGAGTTGAGGGATACGGGTAAGTATGGCTTTGTCCTGCCCAAGGAGCAGATTGTGCCTAGTGCCGAGGAGATGTGGGCTGGGTTGAGGTATTTGGTTAAGAATATGTAAGGGAGTTGTAAGCGGAGTGGGAGGATGATGTATATATGAGTCTGGGGGATGTTTTGTGGCTTGGGCTACTAGAAGATTAAGCGGGAGCCCAATGTAGATATTTCTAGGCAATGAAATCTCGTCAACAGTGAAAAAGTTTCGAACTGTCTTGTATTATTCATGACTCCGATAATCTCGAGGAGAGTGAGAAGGAGGAAGAAGAAGCAGCAGAAGGGAACGACTATACCCGCCCAACACACCAATGAAGAAAACCTGAAAAGTCGAGTGGTAATAGTTACCAAACATAAGTACAACCTCTATTAGGTTACGTCAACCAAATTAATTACGGTTGCGACAAAAGTGGCAGAACAGCAAACTAACGAATTACACTTACGACGAAAGTAAATAAAAATATCAAACTACGGTTGCAATAAGAACACACAGTACACCAAGACGCTTCAATACCTATAAACCCACCATATCATTCACACATCGCTCCCATCTCTCCCCCTCTCCCACCCCACAAACCTACCATGTACCTCCTCCTCACCCTCCTCACCCTCTCCACCCCAACCCTCTCCCTCGCCCACCTCGCCCAACTCCCCCCATGTACCCCCTCAACCGCCACATGCAGCCCCCTCACAACCCCCTGCCCCTCATCAAGTACGCAGTGCGCAACACTGCGTTCGCACGGGCCCGTCTGGATTGCCGTGTGTCACGATGGGAAGTGTGAGGTGCAAAACGCGTACGAATGTGCGAGTGATGGGGTGGGTGGAGTGCAGTGTGTAGGGTCGGATCGGGGTAGTAGTAGTAGTAGTAGTACTGGAGCAATGGCGAAAAAGTCGAGGGGAAAGGGGTGCAAAAAGGGCCAACTAGCTTGTCTGGCGAAGAATGATCAAGGAAAGGATGGAGCTGTTTTCCGGTGTAATGAGCGGGGGTTGTGGAGGGTTGTGGCGGATTGTTCGCAGTGGGAGGTTTGTGTTGAGGAGCCTATGCCGCATTGTGTGTGGCGTTGAATAGGGTGAGGGTTGGGGGGGATTTTTTTTGTTCGACTAGGGGTCGAGAAGCAGTGTCTTGCTGGGGCTCATTTGGATCCTTTTTTTATACCTTTGACTGCAAGGTTATTATTATTTTTTTTGATACTCGATTTAGGCAGATTGGGGTGTGGTATGCCATCCTTTTCTTGGATGATTGATCTGATACGCTACATAGCAACCAGATACAAAAAAATTCAACTGATAGAAGGATTGATTTGGTAAGTTGATGGTGGAAGTGCTTGGGCGGAGGAGATACAGCTGGATGAGGCTGTTTATGTACTCGGTAGTCGATGTAACTACCCGTTTGTCTTCACTGACGTTGTGCTGCAGTTACACCCGAGAGGCATGTGGCTTGTTACTTTTCTCCATGTTATGATACCAAGATGAAAGTGGTTGGAGCGTTACCGCTATAGTGCACCGCGTGCTGCCGTACTGCCGTTTGTATATAAACATCGAGTAAAAATGAGAGAATAGTTCTTTCACCAGGGTTTGAACAAAGGCATTGCAATGACGGTCCTATTTCTAGAAACTGCAACTCAGTTGGGCATTCAAGTACCAGAAGATCAACAGCACTAACACCCCGGTCCGTTTGTATTATATGAATAAAACTGACATTTGGCATAAACTTCATCTTGTCCATGGAAGGGGTATAATTTGTTGTAGCAATGTAGTCCGCTACAGTCTCTAAGTAAAAAGGGTCTAGTAATTGAGCAGGCACCGCAAGAACAGAACCCTTCATCTCTGCCTAATCCAAGCGATTTCCATCACGCTGTCTTTCCGCCACATGAAATTTCGTCATCGTCAAAGCATCGACTGCGTCAAGGCGCCACGCCATGTCTCTCATTGAGCATTGGCCGCAGCAGCAGGTTCAGTAACATTCTCTCCGCCAGTCTTAGCATTTTCTTCAGCACCCGTAGAAGTGACGTTGGCAAAGTGCACCTTGCGGTCTGGAGCCTCCGATATCCTTCTAAGCTCGGTGACGAAGGACTCGCCCCACCAGGCACTATGAATTGTCAGATTTAGTCCAATGATAGATGTTGCTAGGAAGACTCACCTGGTGTATTTGCGGACATATTTTGAGAGCTTCTGGTAGTTCAAGCTACGTTGCTCGTCGCCCATTGTGACTGCATCATGGATTGCATCCGCGAGCTCTTCAGTGTTCCATGGGTTGACAATCAGACTGCCGTTCAAGCTCTGGGCAGCACCAGTGAACTCGGAGAGAATCATAACACCGTGTCGCTTCTCTTGTGTCGCAATGTATTCGTAGGAGACCAGGTTCATACCGTCGCGCGTTGAAGAAACGAGGCAGACGTCTGAAACGGCATAGAGCGCGATGAGCTCGTCAAAGGAGACGGACTTGTGCATGAAGTGGATTGGCATAAACTCAATGGTGCCAAACTTGCCGTTGATGCGACCAACAAGTTCATTGACGACAGCCCGAAGATTTTGGTACTCTTCGACGTCTTGTCTGGAGGGAACAGCGACTTGGACAAGCACGACCTTGCCGATCCATTCGGGGTGTTCGGTGAGGAATACTTCGAGAGCATGCAGCTTCTGCGGCACACCCTTGATGTAGTCAAGACGGTCAACACCAACAATCAGCTTGACGCCTTGGAACTTCTTCTCGAGAGCCGCTATCCGCTCCTGCACCTTTGGCTTCTGAAGACCCTCGTCGAACTTCTCTGGGTCGATACCGATGGGGAAAGCTCCCACAGTTACGACCTTACCTTGGAACTCGACGCCGTTTGGAGTCGTAGCCAGACCGCTGCTGTGTGTTAGCACAACCTACAGATTTATACAGAGCAGATACGCACAGAATACGAGAGCAACTGCTCAGGAAGTGACGGGCATAGTCGTAGGTGTGGAAACCAATGAGATCGCAGTGAAGGACACCAAGCAGAATCTCGTTACGGACAGGGAGAATTCGATAAATCTCGGAGCTGGGGAAGGGAGTGTGCAAGAAGAAGCCAATCTTGACATTCTTCTTTGTGTCGCCAAGCTCTTCTCGCAGCATAGACGGCATGAGCATCAGGTGGTAGTCGTGGACCCAGACCATGTCGTTATCTTGTACGTCTTTCGCAACAGCCTTTGCGAACAGACGGTTGGCTTCGGTGTATGCATCCCAGGCAGACTCGTCAAAGGTGATCTCACCGGGGTGGTAGTGGAAAAGCGGCCACATGATTTCGTCTGCGTGAAGTTAGTTTTGGCCGTGATAGTGCTCGCCAGTGTGATCTCACTTGAGAAGCCGTTGTAGTGTCGGTCTGCGAGCTCGTCGTCGAGCATGACGGGTACGGCATTGTACTTCTCCTTGAGCTGGTCGTTCAGGCCCTTGGCCTCGTCCTCTGGCACCTCGAGTCCGGGCCAGCCATACCACTGGAAGGTCGTCGTCTTTGCCAGGCCGCTCAGACCGCTCACTAGTCCACCAGAGGACATGGACATGTCGTACTTGCCCTCATCGGAGCGCTTGATAGTGATGGGAAGACGGTTGGAGACGAGGAGAAGGCGTCCTTCCGAGGCCTCGGGCCTTACAAGCCGTGTGGGTTCGTCGGGCATGTTTGTGAAGTTTGCGCGGGAGCTGTGTGGAGGGGCAGTGGACTGGAGGAGGGGAGCAGATTGTCCGATTGCTGGATACGGAGATTTATTCACAGCGGGATTTAATCAGGCGAGGTCAGCACAGCAAGTGTGCGGGACAGCTTGTGACGGCTTGAGGTGAGGGGTGTGACAAGTGCTCGCAGGCGCGAGAGGGGAGGGATCAGTGTTTTTCAGCCGCGGTGTTGGGGTGACGAAAGTATGATAATAAACAGGGCCCGCTGAGTGCAAGTGGGTTCTCGTAGGTTCCGAGCTCTGGCTCCTACATATACTTTCTACCTGCCGTACCGATGGAGAGAGGGTGTGCGACAGGGCCAGATGCAGGCGGAACAGGGGCCAAGGATGAACGAGACTAGGGCTCTAGGGCGGTGTGGATAGTGGGCAATGGGAAAAGAATCAGATGAGGCTGGTAGAGTGGGATTGTCCAAAGCTGCGAGTGTTTGTGACGTCGGCCGTGGAGCTGCCCGCCGCGTGGGCGGGGCATCCCTACGTACATAAGAACAGAGCGTGGCTAGTCCTGCCGCCCAACAAATGCCGCCTTTGCCTTGAATCTGCAAAAGGATGAGGGGGAATATCACGGGCTACGCACTATGTTTCCATCCTATCTGTCTATCAAAAATAATTGACCAGCGCATTGGGCGGTCTTAGGGCCTGCCAGCCAAAGTGTCTGGCAGCATCATTATTTGCTGCGGGGCTGCCTGATGCGAATTGACACAATTCCATGTCTCCACCACGTCACGTGCACGCCCCATGCCATACTAGGCGATGAGCTGCCGTCAAGCTCCCGCGCCTTGTCGCGTCCATATTATCGGCCATCATCCAACATCACCAACAAACACAGCCCATCATGTCGGATTCAGAGGCCGCAAGGCCTTCCGAGGCAGCAATCACCAACAAGCTGCGCGACATTGTCATCGCCATCCACAAGTCTGGCAAGACGGATGACTTGACCGTCAAACGCGTTCGGGCGCGCGCCGAGAAGGAGCTAGGCCTAGACGAGGGCTTCTTCAAGACCGACGCGAGCTGGAAGGGAAAGTCGCAAAAGACAATTGTAGATGCAGTGGTCGGTAACAGCAGTGGCCGTAGCATTGACCCATCTAAGACGCAATCTAGGACAAGTTCTGTAGTGATGAACCCTCACCGCAGCCCACTCCCAAGAAGGCAGCACCCAAGCCGAAAGCGAAGCCTGCCCCAAAGAAATCCAAACCTGCTACCGAGAGCCCTCGTGGTGTGAAGCGAAAAGCTGCTGCGCCTGCAAAGAAGCCCAAGAAGCGCGCCAAATCTGAGTCTGAAGAGTCCGAGCCCGATCTCTCGGAGCCTCCTGCTGAAATATCTGACGCTGAAAGCGAACCGCCAAAGAAGCCCGCACGGCGCGGTAAAAAGGTTGTCGCAGACGATTCGGACGAAGAGGATGCGCCCGCGCCAGTGTCAAAGCCCAGTGCCGCCGCCGATGACGATGACGATGAGGCAGAGACTGCACCCCCAAAGGCGCCAGACACAAAAGGAGACGTATCCGATAGCGATCTTTCAAGCGTCATTGACGAGGAGCCTGTCAAGAAGAAGAAAAAGACTCCAGCAGCAAAAGGCAAGAAAGAAAAGGCTCCACCAAAAGCAAAGGCAGCACCCAAATCCAAGGCCGAAGATGATCCCGATACTGCAGAGGTTAAGCGCCTACAAGGTTGGTTGGTCAAATGCGGCATCCGCAAGGTCTGGTCTCGCGACCCAGAACTCTCGAAATGCGACACATCCAAAGACAAAATCCGTGTCCTCAAAGGTTGGCTGAAAGACGTCGGTATGGACGGCAAGTATTCTAACGAAAAGGCTGCAAAGATCAAGGAGAAGAGAGAGTTTGCCAAAGATCTCGAGGCTATCCAAGAGGGTGAGCTAGCGTGGGGAAAGACCAACGAGGTCACAGCCACTGGAAGGCCAAGTCGGAGAGCTGCTGCAAGGCCAGTGCCCCAACAAAAGGTTGTGCTTGAAGACGACAGTGAAGAAGAGGATGCCCCTGAAGTGGATGATGATGACGATGATGACGACGACGATGATGTTGAAGTTGACTCAGGCGACGATGATGACGGCGATAAGAGCGAGGATAGTGCAGACGATGACTCGGATTAACCATTCTTCCCGTGCTCTCCTTTTCAGCTCTTCATGCACGTAGCTTAATCACTCCTTCCAAGCGTGTTCGTTTATTGATACCCACGAACAAAATCTCAAGCGTCTCTTTTCAATCATCCAATCTGTCCTGTTCCATGTTCCATGTTAGGTACTGTAGTTTTACCTACAAAGAAAGTGATTCAAAGAAGATACATTTCAAAGAACGCTGGATGACCAACTCTACAAGTAGCGGATCGTTGCTATTCATCATAACCACTGGTCATTCAGATCCTCATTAGGACTAGTCAATTATGTCACCTTCTCCGAACATTCCCCAATCAATAGTCATGCTCATCTTGATATTTGAAAATCCAGTATGATTCATAAAACTTGCTGATATCGAAAAACCTCTTCAGATTCACTAAACATTGTTCTAGTTCGTTTCTGGAATTGGTGGTATCACTTCCTCTCAGCGATACGTTGTGTGGGGTTTAACGGGAAGGAGCACATGTGCCTCCCACGTGCCTTGAGGCATTTATGACATTCGTTGCGCCCACTTTGACTCTAAATCTTTCAGCTGCCAACACATCAAATGCACGGCACTGCTTCCGCACTCTACATCAACACGCTCAAGTGGAATCAACTAACGATTAACATTTTGGATTAATCTCACTCCAGGCGACTTGGATGATTTTATGTTCAACAAAAGACAATGGCATTATGCATGATCTAACTGGTGAGAAAACACTTGTTTTTACGAAGGCAACCATTGAACAACACCAAGCAGATCATATACTCTTACACTCTGGAGTCATCTTCCCGGCGTCCCAACGCGTTGGGATCAATGTTCTCGGTCTCATCGTACGTTACACCCTCCTCGTCCTTGATCCCTGTAACTTGCGTGACAATTCTGGCTGCCCAAGTGTCACAGCTGACATTGACAGCAGTCCTAAAGCGATCTAAGAACCAATCAATTGCAATGACGACTGCATACATTCCAGTGATTGGCACACCAACACTAGTGGCAATCATGACTACAAGAACCAGACTGGCACTCGGAATCGGCGTCGTTCCGATAGAGGCGAGGGTCGAAAGTAGGATAATGATGATGTAATCCGTAGCATTTAAGGTAATGCCTTGAGTTGCAGCCAGAAAAACTACTACGATTGGGAAGTAAATTGCAGTACCATCCATGTTGATCAGACAACCAAGTGGAACGGCAAATTTGGTAACTACGGAACGTTAACGGGTGACAGACAAACAAATTGGTCATGCAAACTAACCTGTGACGGGAACACCCTGCTTTAGTACACAACGAATAGTGACGGGCAAAGTAGCAGCACTTGATGCAGTACCCCAGGCGGTGATCCAGGCAGGGCTCATCTTGAACCAGAAAGTGTATGGGTTGCTCCTGGTAAAGATGAAAAAGATGATAGGAATGATGATGAACATGTGGATGAACATGCCGCATAGCGTTCCTCCAATGAGTATACCCAGATTCGTACCAATCTCAGCAATATCGAGGCGGAAAAGGTTGGGCATAATGAGGAAGAAGACACCGATCGGCGCCAAGTGGATCAGGACGGTGATCACTCTGAGGATTATGACTTCGACTTCCTCGACCGCTCGGTAGATGGCACCTCCTGGCTTGATGACATATCCGAGGACGATAGCTGTGATCAGCACTGAGAGAAGGGCGTCGGTAGCCAAGGCGTTGACAATGTTGTTGGGGACGAGGGAGTAGAACATGTCAACGACAACATCATGGATCGCGGTTTCCTTCCTCTCGTCGACGAGCTCCTGGTCCTCTTCAGACACTTCCAACGCGCTGCCAGATACAACATTAAACAGCTTGCTCCAGACTAGACCAACTAGCAGAGCAGAATGTGCAACGGCTAGAACGGTGGTAAGGACGTAATATCCAACAGTCCAGCGAGCGAGTTTGCCGGCCGCACCACCTCCTTGGGTCATGTTTCGCAAGCGCTGGATGGCCATGATCATAGCAGTGACAATCATGGGAAGTACTGTATCTGTTAGATCTCCAGATTCGGCCCACATGGCTATCATGGCACATACCAACTGCTCGCAAGGCACGCAGCCAAAGGTTTCCGGGGACTGCGAGAAGAACAATTGCTGCTTCGGGTACTTCCTCGACAGTGGTAGTGACAGCGATACCAATGGCAATGGCCAGAATGGCGGCAAAGATGATCTGCCATACCGAGCCTGGAGTCTTCACTCTCTGCCAAAACGTCTTCTTCTCTTCGACCGCGACAGCTGTTGTTGGCATGGTATTGTCAGAAGGTGAGCTGTTGCTGCTCGCAGCACGCTCCATCTCGTCCGTTTTAGATTCGAGCTCGCCCATTGCAGACGATGTATAGCAAAACGTCAGGAGATAGACAAGTTTTCGTTTTCCGTGCGAGGGATGAGAAACAACAGTCACTTGGAACCTCACTCTGAACCTGTGCTACTACACGTACATATTATACAACGAACCCCGCCCTTCAGCTGCTCCGTGCATCATCCTGTGGCGAGGCAACCAAGAGATAACGATTCTGTTACCAATAATCCGGAATGACACCGTGCTCTCGCATCGCCTTCGTCCCTGAGTATCCTCAACCTATCACAAGGAGCCAACTATCTCTGACTATGACATCTGATTCGCTCTGGGCAGATCCAAGTCTTGAGTGGATAAGCAGGTGTAGTGCTAGCAGACTCCTCTCAACACTCGGACATGAAATTTGAGCCTTGGAGTTGTTGGCAGTGTTGGCAACTATTGCACGCAGGGAAGTTTACAAGCAAAGTGATGTGCCGGCTCCCGACTCGGCCAACAAGGATCGGCTAGACGGCGCCCCGTGCCAAGTGCTCATATCACTGGCTTCGCTAGATCGAAACCATGCAATTGGATCGTGCTTGGACTAATGAACTTTGTGGAGTATGGGAAAGTGAAATACTGTAGCGGAGCGTGGTGTCTTGGTCTTTTGTCGCGTGCCGGGCGAAGCTTGGCTGGCGGACTGAACGGCTTGGCAATGACTCTGGCTCGCGTATGGCGTAGGCTAAGATGAGCGTTATCATAGGACAATACTGGAAAGGGCCGGCTCAAGCAGAAATCGAGGTCACAAGCCGCGGCATTGCGTTGGATACGGGTATTGGCGAAATCAGCCTCGAGGTGCTTCAAGGCAGGAGACCATACGACACTGACCGGTCATCCCCCCGAATAAGCAAGTAGGGAATGACTTTCGTAAGCATTTCTTTTGGAACGTAAGACATGTTGAATCCCGACGCAGACGTTTTGCTTAGGAGCAGGGTCAAAGCAGGTGCATCTGCGCATTGATGCATCTGCACGCAGTCTAGGGTTGGCCGGCAGTACCCAGGTGCCAGGTCATTCAGGCTTCAAAAGAAATGCCTGCAACTGCTTTTGACTGGGGCTTCGACTTACAGGGATGGCCAGAGAACGACATCAAGCAACAAGGCCTGTCACCGTGGTACCGGATCTGATGCTTGAAGGGTTAGGCTTAACGCATCAAAGGCCAAGGCTGTGCCTGGTAAACAGCTTCGACAACGATTCTAGAAGTGTAGTTGCGCTAGCCCTTGATCAATCCCCGGCCGCCTTATCAGCTCTTGGTGTTTACCAAAGTTGCCGTACGAGCGTATCTGTTATCAAGCCAAGTAACGAGTACACGTCTTCAAGACCAGGAAGCTGCTGCCTTTTCACTTTTCGGAATCACTGATTCAGTCCGCACTGATTTTGGAACTGCCCCCTCTATTTCTTACATAAAACTCTCTAAATCTAGACGAACAAAGGCTAATGCTATCGAGAGAAACCCTCCAGCTCTCGAATCAAACGAAGACTGATGTGCTTGGCATTTGCAAAATTTGCTTCTACACTATGTTTACAACTTGGAACAGAACGATTTCGTTTCCAGAAAATATTTCAACGGCTCTTTGTTCAACCAATAGCAACCAATCATAGTTGCATGCCTATCAACGCCATAACTATGACTGGCTTACTTGACATTCCACGAACCTCGATTTCCCCTGCATCGCGGGAGTTCCCAGTCCAAATCTACTGCATCCAAATACAGGAAACGAAACTCATATTTAAGGACGTTGATTGGTGATTCAGTAACTATGGGATAGGGGCCAGAGAGCTCATGTCGGGGCTTCGCCAGCTTGAACTGCTTATCGCACATGACGGTAACACTACACAGCATTAACTCCACAAGACACATGTTTGTGCCACTTGAGATATCAACGATTGATAGGGCACTGCCTTGTGCTCTATAGTACCCAAAACATGCGTGTTTGGGTTACATCGGGTCGACTTGAACGAGTATGGACCGTAGGCGGGAAACACTAGTCTGAAACTACTCCCAACATCTAGTGCACCCAACTGAAGGGGTTTTCAGAACTCGAAGAACAATATGGTGCATCGGATACCGTTCGAAAGGACCGTGTGGCTGGTTGAGGCCGTTCCCGCGCAATTGCTTTGTAATGTCTACTCGGCTCTTATTACACCACTGTCCATACTTTTCCCCCATGGATATCACAGTTTATGTACCCAAACAAAGACTGGAGTAAGTTGTTTTTCATCATATGTTAGCAGAAACCGGCTCATATGTGCTCGTGTGTAACACATCCCTGCCAACCATTCACAAATAGTGTTACAGGTGAGCGCATAAGCCCAATGATATTAACGATTCGCGCTGCAGCATATCGTTTTTCTTTCGAAATCAAAGCAATAAAATGTTGCTTCTTCTCGCAGTTCCGTTGTGGGACGCAAAGGAGCGTGACCATTGGTCATCGGGATTAGCATCACGGAAGCCGGATCACAACTCTTGATCCGATCCGACCTCAATTGCTCACATAAAAAGCGACCACATACCAACTCAAAACATCAACAACAACACACAACAAACTCTACATCTCAATCTACACATCAATTGTCCAAATTATTTCCAAAAATTCAATCCCTCCACCAAAAATGCCTCAATTCAAAGTAGCAATTTACCTCTACCCCCAAGCCGACCTCCTCGACTTCTCCGGTCCGGCAGAAATGTACAGCCACAGCGACACCCTGGACGAAAACGCCACCTTCCCCTTCGACGTAACTTCCTTTGCGCACTCCAATCCCGTCGTCTCGGCCTCACCCGCCCTGGTGTACCAGCCCAACAAGACCTTCGCCGAAATAGCCGACCAAATCACAGACTACGACATCCTCGTCATCCCCGGCTCCCACGACAAAATCATCACGGAACTGATTGCCACGGAGCCCGGCAAGCAGCTCCTCACTCTGATCCAAAAGTTCGCGGCTGCGAAACCGCGTGCGGAGACGGGGAAGAGGTTCCTCCAGTCCGTGTGCACGGGTTCGCTGTTACTGGCTGCATCTGGTGTTCTTGCGGGCCGCACGGCGACGACGCATCATCTCAGCTATGATTTGCTAAAGTCGATTGCGGATGAGGCTGCGGGCGGCGAGTCCAAAGTTAATGTGGTGAGGCAGCGGTATGTGGATGCGGGTACGACGGATGCTGGTGTGCGCATTGTGACTGCCGGCGGAGTGAGCTCGGGTATCGATGCTACGATATATATTATTGGAGAGATTTTTGGCCAGGAGAGGGCGGATTGGGTGGCTGAGGTTGCCGAGTTTGAAAGGAGGGAGAAGGCGTGGGGGGTTTAAGGGCGTGGAGTGAATGTGGTTGTGGTGTAGAAAATTTCGGGTTTGTTGGTTGATTAGAGGGGTTTATTGGGATTGGAGTGAAAAGGAGAAAAACATTTATAGTGGTTTGGTGAATGTAAAATTTGATTTGGCTGAGCGGTATGTTGACTGTTGAGTGAATGAAACCTAACATAGTGATTCGTCGAGCTTGAGTTCTCAACTCCACGTGCTCTTTGATACACTAAATAAATTTCCCCTAGTAATCTATTAACAAGAGAAGTATACGTGAATATTGAGATTTACCCCCCAAACTCCTATTTCGCCTCGTTATCGCTAGATGAATAGAGGGGGAGATAGTGTCATGTGATACCTGATCCGCTGCTGCGTATAGCCATATTCGCGAGATGAGAATCAGTGAAAACTGTGGTATCTGAATGATATTGCAATGGTTTTCGTAAATCATCTGAATGAATATTGAGATACGTGAAGAACTAAAGAAGACTCACTTCCTGCGCTAGCGAAAAGAAAGAAATTTCATCAAGGCTATCTTGACAATATCGCAAGAATGTGATGACAATTGCCTGCAATTTGAATAGGCAGCTACCCAAAGCTCAGACCCAAAACATCGCGGTTACCAAAGTTCACTCCTTCCCAAACCACGAAATAATGAAAGCCGATTTCCTACCCAACTAGTCCTTGAGGCAAGCAACAGCAATGAAGGACCCACTCTTACCTTCTCATTCACTTCTCTTTAGCTCGCCTGCCAACAGTATAAAAATGCATCTTTGTTATGAGTCGAAACCAAAACAAGACTGCAACCTCATCTACCAGCAACCCAGTCTTTAGCCAGCATAATCACGATGCCATGCATCTCCCTTCCCTTTCGAAGACGCCCCGACCCAAAAGATCCTTCTGCCGGTTTTCCAAAAGCACACAAATACGATGGCCCGCTCCAGGAGGGCTCACAAGGCTGTGTCGAGCAATGGACACACATCCCAACTAAAACCGTTATCGCAGTAAAGGTAATGACCCGTACCCACCGTCCATCCCCCGAGATACAAATCCTCCGTGACTTGCCACCCCACGACTCCATCATAAGATACCTTGATCACTACGAAAAGGTCCCATCTCCAACCCAAGTATCCATCCTCCTTGAATACTGTTCCGTCGGAGACCTCTACGTGCTCCGAAGCATAAGCATCGATCAAAACAAACCCACCTTTTCAGAACCCTTCATGTGGTCCACCTACACCCAACTCCTCAGCGCCCTCGCCTTCCTCCACCACGGCATCTCCCCAACGTACCCCTCCGGCCGCCACCCCTGGATCCCCATCGTCCACCGGGACTTGAAATTCGAAAACGTCCTCGTAAAATCCCTCGGCCTCGCTCCAGACTGGTCCACTGTCGACCTCAAACTCGCAGACTTCGGTATGGCAGGTTACCACAATCCAGCTCACCCAAATCCCTCTGGCTACATCGGTACAACATACTACTGGCCGCCCGAAGTAACCTGGGAAACCAAACAGCTCTCGCCAGCCAGCGACGTCTGGGGTATCGCAGCTATAATGCACGAACTGGCGCATAACTTCCCCCCGATAGTCGACCCCGCGGTCGTGGAAGCGCAGTGGTTCAAGACTCACACCGAACCGCCCTTCCCCCCTACATACTCGGACTCACAAAAGAGAAATTACTGGGCTGCCAAGGCACCGAGGCGAGTTATCCCGATTAATCTCGATACCGATGCCGACATACCGAGTTTGCGTGACCCGGAGTTGGGAGGTAAGGATAAGACGGCGCTGTGGTTTCGACGGCGGAGACCGAGTCCGAAGTATTCGGATCGCTTGAATGGGTCTGTGATGAAGGGTTTGGAAACGGTGGAGCAGCGGCCAAGTGCGGGGGTGTTGTTGGGGGTTGTGGAGAAGGAGTATAAGGAGGTTTTGGGGGAGAGACTGAGGACGTAGAGCTGGAGGTCTAGATCATGGAGAGAGGGGGTGGTGCGGGGAATTAGAGGTGGAAGAATGGTTTGAGCGGGATCTCAACTTGACAGTACAATGTCTTTGGAGACGAAAGATACTGGGCTATTGAATGGGCTTGGGGGTCATGGAGTCTTTTCTTTTGTTAATCATGGATGAAGTTGTTTACCACATTTACTTTGCTGGCCGAAGCGGGCATATCTCACTTGTATAGTAATATCAGTCTCGAAAAGTCCGTACTCAACGTGGGATGAATATATCTCTGATTGCAACGGCAACATGATCCGGCATTACACAAGTGGAAAGGCCCATGCTAGGGAAGCTGGCGGGGCCAGTGCAATGCAAATTTTGAGCGCAGTGTTACAGCAGCAGCGCTTGAGGCACAAGCACGTGCTCTGGTACAGCGAACCCTGACTTAACCCTCCGCCGTCCAAGATTTTGCAGCCAGCTGTAGAAGCGGATGAGGAGGAGGAGCCCCCAAAATTGAGCGGCCTCCTCGTGGGAGAATGATGGACTGTGGTCACCAGATGAACTGGAAAGAGTTTTCCACTCCTGCTTTTTTTCGCATCATACACAACTGGCGCTTGATATCCCCAGAAATCTGGAGGCACGCATCAACAAATACCTGGATCAATGTTAACAAGGGTACCATTTGATCATGTGACGGCAAAGTGTTTTTGTGGAATATCAGAGCTATCTTCTACTCGCGCATGGTGTCTCAAGCCCACTACAGTCTCTCACATCCGGGCTAGTATACACAAACCACAACATGCGCGAAAGTTGAGCGGGACTTCAAGACACTCGGTTCAAGTGTAATGTGGGATCGTCATATACGGATGGGAGTCTCGGATTAGTTATTCAAGATTGCAACGTACCTGCATCTATGGAAACTTGCAACACGTCCCATGTTTTATGCGCGCTCTTACGCGTCAGATCAGTTGAAGTCAGTTTGTGGCGGGTAGAGCTAGGAGGCAGGAGATGGCAAGAACAAATGAGTTCGAGAAAGGGGAGCTCAGCCGAGCGATTATGTCAGCTACTAGTGCGCTTGGACATGCACGCGTCACTAAACACTCTTCTTCTCCGTCCATCGACTTTCAACAATTATATCTCATTATTCATCGGCTCTTGAACCGGCCTCGAAATTTAAAGACGTTATTTACAGAATTTCCTCTGGCTTAACCACGACCCAGTTCTTGTCTGCGGTGACCTCCCGTCCGTTCGCAATCTGCGCAAGAGTAGTGTTCTTGATCTCTTCTTGCAGCTGCTTAAAGTACGAATCCTTGCGATTGATCCACAGATGAATGCCACCCTTCGAGACATCTACGCCGTGAAACTGCATGTATGTATCGCTTCCGGGCGTATCGCCACCGACCAAGATCGGGCGCTTCCATTGATCGATGTAGGTCAGGATACCAGCCCATTTACCCGCGAACCAGGTGGCTGGGGTCCAGAGGTAAGGAGTCACAACCAGGTCAAGGTTGGCGGTTTCGTTGTATGTGCCTGCGGTAATCTGCTCCCGTGCGTTTGTGACCGCGCCTGATGTAGTGTTCTTGAGGACCGTGGTAACGCCAATGACATTCTCGGGTGGAACGTTGTATCCGTACTTTGGATCGCTGGCCACCATCCGTACGAGTTCCTCATGCGAGGCGCTCATGATGTAGACGGAAATGCCATTTTCCATGAGCGCATTGTATAGTTCCGCCTGGCCCCGGAAAACTTGGGGTGTATGGACGCTGCTGGAAACTACTTCATCGCCATCCCAGTATTTCGTAGGGATGGTCGAGTTGTACGCCATTAGCTCATCGACGTAGCCCTTTAACTCGCGAAGTGTGAAGCCAGACCACACTTGCGCCGCCCACGGATAGCAGAGAAATGTATCAATGTCGCACAGACGGTTGTAGTAGCTGAAAAGCGATTCTGTGAAATTCGCCGTATCCTTGAAATCAACCAGCTTTAGGCTAGGGTCCAAGTTTTCGCGCTTGAGGATACCGCGGTTCTCGAGAAAGGGAAGAAGCGACTCCTCGATGTCGTAGCGCCAGCTCGTGTTGTCCATGTCGAACACCGCATAGTTGCTCTGATTCGCATTGCGCGCAATCATAGTATTCAGCGCTTTGGCAGCATCGGCAGGCCAGTGCTTGAGTTGGGTTTTGTGATGAGCGCCATAATGGGGTGTTGCTGTGCCGAAAGAACTAGCAAATGCCAGCCACAAGGCTGTGTTGAGGGTTGAAGTCCGCATTCTTTGTTTCAATGATTGATATTTCTGGGTCCCAAAAAATGGACGACTGGGGAAGCGAGCAAGAAAGAATGCAGGAACCCGATTTTCCGGAGAATTGGACAATTAATACTGGGAAGCTGTCAACATTCTGTTCGGGTATATGGAGTCCGCCAACCATGGGTGCTGCTGCCGATAAGGGAGCCCGGTCCCACACACACACACAATTTATTTACGCCCGGCGGCCGAGCCGAGAGGGCTACTAGCGCTAGTCTAACTTTACACTTCTTATGCTACATCTTGGTCTCAGCCCATATATCTTCTTTGTCCCACTTCTTTGTATAGCTTGTTATCTTAGGTCAAAGCCCTTACTCAATATCTTGGCACGCTTCTTCTTTATCTACTATCACTCCTCATCAGGTGCTCGTGGGTTAGTATTGTTAGTAGCAGACTAGCTTAGAGTCGGCTTCTCCAAGAGATTCTCTAAGTGTTCAACGTCCTATCTTCGGCGGCTAAAGCGCTGTCTGCTGTCGGTTGCACGAGGCTGCTAATAAGTTTACGTTAGTAGCTAACTATAGTTAGTTTACCTAGTAGTTAGTTAAATGCTAGTTTGCATCCAGTCTCCGTGTTGCTATTGCGAATCGTATCGTCGCTCGCACTGCGTCCATGTCTGGCTCCCATTTCGCGTTGTCTGTCGCTGTTTTGCCGCCTAGGTAGAACGATATACTCCCTCGGTCCGTCTGCGTGCATTGTAGCATTTCGGTTCGCTGCGTGGTCCACTTTCTGCACCGGAGTAAAAAGTGCTCTACTGTCTCTGCTGCCTGTCCGCATTCGCATTGGTCTGTTGTCGATGCTTTGATTCGATATCGATACGTGTTTAGCTGTGCCATGCCTGTTCTAAGCTGGGCAAGTACACTGCTCTCTTTCCGCGACAGTCCGTCGTAGAGCTGTCGTGTGTGCTTTCCTGGCAGTGCCGTGTCGATTTGTCTAGAGTATGCTCCTACGTCTCTTGGCACTTTCTTAGTTATGCCTCGCTTTCGTGCGATATTGTGCGTAGTTGATCGTATTCTAGGAAGCTGTGTTTGTATTCTGGCAGTCAGTCTGGTTGCCATTTTCGCCTCTTGCTTGGCGAGGCTTGCGAGCTCGCACTCTTCGCTTGTAGGTAGCCATAGTACTATCACCGTATTACCGTCTCTTCTTAGTGTCTGTACCGTCTTGTAGAACTGGCTTATGTAGCTTTGCCCAGATTGCTGCCGCGGTCTTCTAAGTGTGAGCACCGCAGCCTTGTTTCTTGTTATTAGTACAATGCTGCGAAACCTCAGCTTCGGCAGCCTGCTCAGCGCCTCAGCCATTGCCGCTAGCNCTGCCGCGTAAGGATTCTGTTCCTCTCTCTTGCCTAATGTGACGGAGAAAGATTGTTTCTCGTTATTCTGCGTGCTGATTGCGCCTCCCATTCCGACTACTCCGTTCCGCGCTG